GTCAAAGCACTCTTTTCAAGAATTTGTTTCTGAAAAAATCTCAATAGGAAACAGTTACTGTTTATTTGAAACAAACATTATTATTGTTCCTAGGGCTTTACACTTTGTTGTTGTTAGGCGTTCCCACTCATAGCGACCTTACGCACAACAGAACTAAATACTGCCCAGTCCTGCTCCATCACAATTGTCACGTTTGAGTTTGGCGTTGCTGCCACTGGGCCAGTCTGTCTTGTTTGGGGGCTGTGGGAAGTGGTCTTTCTTTTTTTTGTGGACCCTCCATTTTATCAAGCAGGGACTGGTCCTTCCTAATAACATGTCCAAAGTATGAAAGAAGAAGCCTCACCATCCTGACTTCTAGGAAGCATTCTGGCTGCATTTATTCCAAGAGAGATTTGTTTGTTCTTCTGGCAGTCCGTGGTACTTTTAATATTCTTCTCCAACTATTTATTATAATTCAAATGCACTGATTTTTCTACCGTCTTCCTTATTCACTGTCCAACTTCACATGCATATGAAGCACTTGAAACTACCATGGCTTAGATTGGTGGTATTGTGAAGTGCTGTCGAGTCGGTTCCAACCCATAGCAACCCTGTATAGGGTTTTCGAGGAGCAGCTGGTGAGCTTGAACCACCGACCTTGCAGTTCAAACAGCTTTGCAGTCTGGCGCATTAACCCACAATGTAATCCTCAAACTGAGATCTTTACTTGTGAACACTGTAAAGTCTTTTGCAGATCTGTCTACTGCAATATGGCATTTGATTTCTTAACAACTGCTTTCTTAAGTGTTGTTTTTGACTACTTCAACCTTTTCTCTATCATATTATATATTGGCCTAGTTGTGAGTGGTTTTGTTTTCTTTGCATTGAGGTGCAATCCATACTGAAAGCTGTGTTCTTTGATCTTCATCAGTAAGTATTTTAAGTCCTCTTCACTTCCAGCAAGCAAAGTTGTGTTATCTGCATGTCCTAGGTTGTTGATGACTCTTCCAATCCTAATGCCATGCTCTTCTTCATCTAATCCAGCTTCTTGTATTCTTTGCTAAGCAAATATACTCAGTAAGTATGATAAAAGGATAGAACTCTGACACACACCTTTCCCAATTTTAAACCATTCTGTATGTACTTGTTTTAGTCAAATGACTGCCTCCTGGACTATGCACAGGTTTCTCATGAGCACAATTAAATGTTCTAGACTATTCTTTATTCGCAATATTATCCATAATTTGTTATGATCCACAGAGTAAAATGCCTTTCCACAGGTGGGACATATTCTAGGTCATAATTTGGCTCTCATGGAGCCAAAAACAGTTTGCTTCAGTTTCATCCTGAACTTGCATTTGAGCAATCAATGATCTGTTCCACAGTCGGCTCCCTAGCCTTGTACGGCTGGTGATAGTCAGCTTCTCCAACATTTCTTCCCATAATATGTAGTGAATCTGATTTCTGTGTATTCCTTTTGGTGAGGTCCATGTGTATAATTTATTCATTCCATTTCATTTTTCACAACTTCCAATATTCCTAGATTCATACTATGTACATGCCATGTTCCAATTATTAACAGATGTTTACAGCTGTTACTTTTAAAGTTGTGCCCCATCAGCAAACAAAAGGTCCCAAAAGTTTTGCTCCAGTAACATCATTATGGTTAACGCTACTTTTAAGAAAGGAGCCCTTGGTGGCATAGTGGGTTATGTGTTGGACTACTAACTACCAAGGTCAGCAGTTTAAATCCACCAGCTGTTCTATAGGAGAAAGATGAAGCTTTGTGCTCTCGTAAAGATTTACAGCCTTGGAAACCCTATACAGGGTTGCTATGAGTTAGAACAAACTCAACAACACACCACCACCACCTACTTTGAGGAGGCAGCTCTTCCTTAGTTGTGTTGAATACCTTCCAGCCTGAGGGGCTCATCTTCCAGCACTATATCTCACAATGGGATTTGAAACTAGATACTGTGTATTCCATATTTTAATTTCTATGTTAAAGGAGTAAAACTCAAAACCAAATTTTCCCCTTTCAAAATCAAATAAAATGGTACAGTAACATTTATTTCTCACTTATCTTGTGATCCAACATTTTACATTTATAACTTAAGCAAAATCATCTTCTATCCATCTATTTCAAGCATTAATGACATACATCAGGCAGTAACAAATGATGAGGTAAGAATACTGCTGCCTTTTACAGCTAAGGTGGAGTCAGCCTGGCTGGACCATGAGCATCAATGGTTTGACAGTTATATGGTGATGAAATTTGGCTGTGATGTAATGATGTAGTTTGGCAGGTATTAATGATGTGATCATCCTCTATTTTCACATAATGCCAATTTTTGCATAATGATCTGGTTTTTGGAATCTAACAACATCAATCAGTGATGAGTACATAGATGTAAAAGGAGCTCTGGTAGCGTAGTGGTTGCAAATTGGGCTGTGAACCGCAAGGTCAGCAGTTCCAAACTACCAGCTGTTCTGTTGGAGAAAGATGTAAAGATTTACAGCCTCGGAAACCCTGTACAGGGTCGCTATGGGTCGGAACCGACTCCACGGCCCAAAACAACTACAACAACAACATAGATGTAAAGTTACAAGCATACTAGACTTACATGTCCCAGAATTCTGTTAAATTTGCATTAAACATGAATCCACTGTTAGCATACTTCTTTAAAAAAACTAATTCATGGCAAGGCTCCAATGTCAAAAATATGCTCATAAAACACACACCTGACACAATTTTGTTAAATCAAGGAATTAACTACTTGGGAAAGAGTAATAACTTACGTTATTCTAAGTATTGAAAAAAAATAAGTACTAGTGGGAATAATAAGAGAAGGCTTCAAAGAGTTCCTGAAAAAATGGAATTAAAAGATAACGGAATTCTTCAACAAACTTTTTGAAGCCCCCTCATACAGAGCCTTTAATTAGATTTTAAAAACTGGTTTGTACTGCATTAGCCTTCAAACACTGGTTTGTACTGCATTAAGTCCTGAAAAAGGAACTTCTAAAAAAGTTTACAAGAAGCAGTCTGATTAACCAGCTAACTATGCTCTTTAAACAGTTAACAAATTTCTGAAATGAAAAGTAGAACTTAACAGAAAAGAGTACAGAACAGGTTAAAAAAAAAAAACCTAAATTGTCCCACACAAACCACCAAGGAGTCAATAATCCTAATTCACTGACCTTGCATCTATAGGTGTGAACGATATTTTCATTAAATTCATTCTATTGTTGTTGCTATGTGCCACCAAGTTGGTTCCGACTATAGTGACCCTATATAGGGTTTCTGAGGAACAGCTGGTGAATTTGAAACAACAGCCTTGCAGTTCAAACCAACCTTGAAGTTAAGTACTTATCCTATGGCATCACACAAGGACTCCAAAATCATTCCATAGCATACAACATTTTTTTTTATTTTAACATGGACTAACTTAAAGTTTCCACATGAGGACAGGAAGGGCAGAGGACCATAAAGAACTGTCTAGATTTCTATGATGATCAGAGGAGACTATGAAACAGGCTATAGCTAACTATCTAAAAAGACTACTAAATGCAGCATTTAGATACAAAAGAGCATCTGTACAAATAAAAGAATTTGGGAAACATGGTTTAAAGCAGAATGTACGAAGAAGAAAGGAAGTTTTGTTAGACAAATCAAAAGTATAGCACACTCAAAACACTTAGAATGATTAAAGGTAGCAAGCAGTAAGAAAAATGTATTTCAATTACGTCAGGTGGTACTCACTTTATGCTTGCATTCATTGGACTACCAATGAAGTATAAAATATAATTTATATGAGAGATCCAGAACAGTGAAGGAATTTGGCTAAATACACAAAGGATACATTCAATACTGAACAAATAGTTATTGAGAATGATTTCCAGGGTTTCACTACATGAAAGTCTCAGGGACATTACAATACAATGGGACAACCCTTTTACCCTCATAAAATAGAAGATTCAGGAGGTAGGAGAAACAGCTTTAAAAATCTGAAGGCAAGTAAGATAGTAAAATAAATAGAAGACTGAACTTAGAGTCATAAAACCTAAGATCAAATCCTAACCTGACCATCACCTCAACTCATTACTTCTCCCATAAAATACAGATGAAAATGATCATCAAACTTACTTCACACATGATTATAAAAATCAAATGAAATAAACTGAAAAGCAGTCTTTAAACTGTATTTATGTCGAAGGGAGATCAGATTTCTTCTACAAGATTCCTAAGATAAAACTAAAATTTCATCAATAGGTAGTAGCCACAAGAAGACAAATTCATCTCCATTAAATTCAGGGCATATTGACGATAGATTGGAAAATCCCCTATCTTTGGAGGTATTCACACACAGCCTTGCTTGTCTCTTAGCAAAAAATCCAGAAAAACACAGTAAGTTAACATAACAGGTCCACAATAGTTAAGAGTGTAATGCTTGGAATTATCCTCTGTAAGAAAGAAGCAAAACACTGATGGTGTATAGTGTAAAATGCATGCCTATGCATGGTGCAATAAAATGGATAGTTATATCTGGGTGAATCTCTCCAAGTGCCAGTATTCTCATCTATACAAGACCTGCATCAAAGATCTGGTCTGAGAATTGACTAAGACAGTCTAGTTGCCTACCACAAAGCATCTTCAAAAATGTTGATTCTCTTGTCCTTACCACTCCTTAACTCTATTCTGTTTATATACTCTCAGTTTCCCTATTTGCTATCCATAGAGCAAGGATAGCTAATCAAAAATGGAAATACTGCTCACCACAGTATTACTTTAAAAAGCAAATATACAGTAACAAATCAAGAGGATTCTGTTCAGAAAAATTAAGTTATACAACTTCACATGGAAGATATTTATTGATTTTGAAAATAACAAAGAATTAGAAAATATTAGCAATCTTGCAATTCATTCATTTTCCCATTCATTCAACATAGTATTATGTGTTAGGCATTTGTGAAAAAGGTTATTTAACTAGATATACTTTATAGAACATAAAAGGAAATCTAACCTGGATTCTGGCTGTAAAAAGGTCCTCCGTTCATCTGATTCTGAAGGCTTGTTTGTGAAGTTATGGAAGGAGGGCGTCTGTAGGGCAACGAGCCCCCAATTGTTGGGGGAGTATGACGAGAGGCAGGTCTATTCATGCTGTAGAATTGAACAGGATGACCTGGGAAAAGGACAGAGTACACACCTGTCATTCAAATTAAATTTCACAAACAATAAAAAAAACTTAGGTGCATTGTCTGAATCTTAATAAGGCTCTTAAAAATAGTAATGCTTAGCTTATTTAATTGTGATCTGAAAAACACAAGCTGCTTTGTAATGCAAGCTGAAATCAAAGTGCAAAATCAGGCAAATAAATAAAATTATGATTAGGCTTTACAGAGCTACATCTAAACAGACCATTATGTTGAATTTATTAATTGATAATTTAATGGGGTTTTAAAATCACAATTAAAATTTATAAATGCCCCAACCCTCCCAAACAAAAACAGTCACTAAGTACTAGCAACTAAACTTAATAAAATAAAACATTTGGGAAAGGAGGTGAAAAAATGTTGGATTAGTCTTATTATAAAGTAATGATATATCTAAGTAGCGAAACAATTAGATTAAAGGAAAAGCACAGCTAAACTACAAAATCAAGTGGCATAATCCTAAATAATCAAAAACATCTTTATTCAATCAAAAATATCCATCATTATAGCTATATTCTGTTTTAAAAATAGAACTTAAGAAATCTACAGTCATGGGAAAAAGCTAAGATTAAAAAAAAAAAAAAAAAGTGACTCAAACCTTATTTTCACGTCACCCCTGAATCTGTATAAATTTATAATCTATTTTACTAGATTTTGCTGAAAGTTCAACAGTATTAAAGACAACTGGAGACATTCAATTCCCTAATGCAATCAGATACCTAAATGTTCTTCACCCCACCTCTACTTAGTCATTCAGGTGACAAACAGAGACACACAGAAAGTGTGCACATGCATGCACACGCCACAGCTCTGCAACTCCAGCAGGTAAGAGAGAAGGAGGAGGCAGAAAGGGAGGAGGGGGAGAGGGAGAAAACTGGAAAAGAACGTGAAAGAAAAAAAAAAAAACCAGGAAGGAAAATGAGCAGGGAAAGGAAGAAATAAGGAAAGAGGAAAAGAGAAAGGAAGTGACCACGAGGGAAAAAGAGACAGAACTACATATTTAACAATTTGCAGTTTATCATGACTTTAAACAGGTCTCATATGACAAAAACTGGTCTCTAGGAATGCGATACATTTCTCAAACTTGTATTTAGAGAACGTATACTAGAGAAAGCCACTCAAGATCTGCTACGTGATTTTATCATCTTACTCATGACACTATCAAAACCTAAAAATCACTTCTATTGTATAAAAAATCTTGTGTATTTTATATATAACCGATCAACAAAACATCATTATAACCAGGATAAAAATAGAAACATATAATCTGTTAAGACTATTATGCAAAAGGCACATTTAGACCTCCACAGACAACTACACTATCAGCATTTTATTAATTGATATATAACAAACTACTATAAACTTAGGATGATCATCAGGTTTAAAATCACCCGGTTTTAAACTAACACATAATGAATTTTATAAACATAAGGCCTTCGAAAAGTTCATAATCTTTTAATTCCATTTTTCCACGAACTCTTTAAAGCCCCTTTGTACTGAGATCCAATCTAAAATCTCACATGTAATATATACAAAGGGGCTTCACAAGGTTCCTGGAAAAATTCCATTATCTTTTAATTCCATTTTTCTACAAACATTTTGAAACCTCCTTCTTAAGTCCACATTAATTCAAAGACACTGTATAAAAGAGGCCGGTATGACACTGTGAGTTAATGCACCAGACTGCAAGGCCGTTTGAACTATAAGGTCAGTGGTTCAAGCTCACCAGTCACTCCTTGAAAATCCTATACCGGGTCGCTATGGGTCGGAACTGACTCGACGGCACTTAACAACAACATATTTATGCTAACTGTTAATAAGCATTTCCACTGCTTTATGTTCCCAAAATAAATAAATATTAGAGACCTAATGGCAAAATTGAATTATGGTATTAGAGGAGAACACTGAAAGTGTGCCATGGGCTGCCAATAGATCTGTGTTGGAAGAAGTGCAGCCAGAGTGCTCCTTAGAGGCCAAGATGGCCAAACTTCGTCTCTCATACTTTGGAATATTGTCAGGAGGGAATAGTCGCTAGAGAAGGATATCATGCTTGGTAAGATGGAGGGTCAGAGAAAAAGAGGAAGACCCCCAACGAGATGGATTGGCCAGGTGGCATCATTGATGGCGTCAAGTGTGGCAGCAGTAGTAAGCTTGGCCCAGGATCGGACATAGTTTCGTTCTGCTGTGTGTAAGGTCGCTATGAGTCAGTGCCGACATGACGGCACCTAACAACAACAATGGCAAAATCTAAAATGGTAAACTTCTAGAAAAAAACACAGGACAAAATCCGTGTGCCCTTGAATAAGTAAGCAAGTTTGTAAGCGTAATCAAAAGCATAATCTGTAAAAGCAAAAATAATTAATAATTGAGACTTGGTAAAAATAAAGTCCTTTTGCACTTTTAAAGACACACCAGTCAAAAAATGAAAAGACAAGCTGGGAGAAAACATTTGTGAATCACAAAACTGAATAAAAGACTTGTAGCTAGCAGATAAAAAAGAACTCTATGAAAAGAAAACAACCCTATTAAAGGAAACAGGGGCAAAACATTTGAACAGGCAACTTTACCAAATATATACAGATGGCATGTAAGCACAATCAAGAAGATGCTCAACATTATTACTGTTGTTGTTGTTGTTGTTGTTGTTGTTGTTGTTAGGTACCATCAAGTCGGTACCGACTCATAGCGACCTTATGCATAGCAGAATGAAACACTGGCCGATCCTGGGCCAACCTCACTACTGTTGCCATGCTTGAGTCCATCAATGCTGCCACTTGGCCAATTAGGGAAAGGCAAATAAGAAAACACTAAATATCTACCGTTGTTAAGTGCTTTCTAGTTAGTTTCAACTGATAGCAACCTTGTACATGGTTTCTGAGGATGGTGGGCCTGAACCCCCAACCTTATGGTTATCAGTCTACTGTTTATCCTACAGTACCACACCAGGACCCCACACACCTATTAGAATGGCTAAATTTAAAAACAAAAAGGGCATAAAGACATCTCATGAAAGAGAGAGACGAAGGGCTGGTTAGTCCCAAGTATAGTGAGACCTGGGGACTCCTGAGCCCATGGAGGGCTAGAGCTGAGAGTGAAGCATCCAGCTGCTATGATGGGACACGCTTAAGAATGCCCATACTTGCACATAGTACCCAAATGACCTAGCTTCGACAGCTTGATGATGATAACCCAACTAGAGGAAGATAAAGAAATTTAATAGAGGAAGCAAGTGTAAATTGCTACAATTTAATGCATTTGGCCTGTACTTATGAATGTAGTTGCTCAAAATACCCACCTACCAAGAGGGGAGCAGTCTTCACATCAAGGATCAAACATATCTCCTCTGTACACAGGATTGATAGGGACAGGCAACTTAAGACACTGGCACCTAAAATTGGGGGTGGGAGGGTGGCACTATAAAGGCACAAAGTGGCTGGCTTACAAATTTTCAAGAGGGAGTTTAGTTTCAGAGTGTTCAGGGGAAGGCAGAATACCCACTGAATAGTTTTTGTCTAGACGGGTCTGGCAAAAGGAGATGGGGATGGGTTCACTGATTCAATAGTGATTAGTTGATAAGTGACCATACCTAACTGCGATTCTTACAACTGTAAAGGTAGAGGTTGTGTAACAAAAAACAAAAAACAAAAAAAAAAGGGTGGGGTGGGGGGTAGTTAGTCTTGCATTCCAGGAACAGAAGACCCTAGGACCATCAAGAGAGAAGAGCATAAGCTGAACATGGGACCCTAAGCAGAGAAGCAGCGACACCAGAGGGAGACAGAGGTGATGTCATGAAGAGACTGAGCAGCTGAAGACTCTAGACTCATGAAAAGAGAAAGACTGTGTGTTGGCAGCCAGGAGACTGGCTTCCAGAATATGCACTGTGGTTGTTTAAATGATGATATATCCCTGTGTGTTTTTTAAAAACATGCACTAGAGGGTAGACACACACTGACATTGTTGAGGGGACAGGCAATACACAACCGGAGGGGGTTAGCAAAGGAAAGATGGGGGTGGTGGGAGACACAGGGAGGAGTGCAGTGATTGGAGTGAATAGAGGTAAGTGTTGTTGACTGTTGGTGCATGGAGGAGATTGCAACCATGTAATAAAGCAAAGTGTATGATTTGTTGAATGTGGAACTGACGATCTGGCTCTGTAAACCTTTACTCAATTCATAATAAAAAGTTTATTTAAAAAAAAAAAAAAGGGCATCTCATAGATTGCCGTATTGTTGTTGCTGCTGTGTGCTGTTGAGTCAATTCTGACTCACAGAGACCCTTTATAGGGTTTCCAAGAGTGACTGGTGGATTTAAATTGCTTCACAGTCCAGGGCTTATAAAACAGCACCACACCAGGATTTATACATTGTTGGTAGGGGTGCAAAATTTTAGTCACTTAAGAAAACAGTTTTACTATTTCTTATATAATCACTTACCGTATGATCAGCAATCCTAGTCCCTACATATTTACTCAAATGAAATGGAAACCTGTATTCACACAAAAACCTGTGTATGAATGCTTTGAACAGGCAGCTTTATTCAGAATCACCTAAAACTGAAAACAACCCAAATGTCCAAGCTAAGACATGGATAAACAAATTGTGGTACAACCATACAATAAAACACTACTTTTATCAATGAAAAGCAACAAAATACTGAAACATGAATAAATCCCAAATAAATTTTGCCAAAAAGCCAGACCAAAAAGGCTCCCTATTGTATGCTTCTTTTTATATCATATTCTCACAAAGTCAAAACTTTAAGGGAAAAAAATCAAAGAGTCATCAAGGGCTGAGGGGAGAGGGGAAGGATGACTGCAAAGGGAGCATGGAGAAATATTTTGGAATGACAGGACTGTTCTACATCTTGACTGTCAAAACTCACAGAACTGCACACTAAGAATATAGTCTAAGGGTCATAACTGCATGGGACATTGAGTTAATTGTTCTACCTCCTAGTTCAATGCATACTG